ATCGCCGCGCGCGTGGAGCGGCAAATGACGATTCTCTTGCCCTTCTCCCGAAAAGTCGTGTGCCAAGGAGTAAGGACAGTGGTAGTGCGTCTCCGCCCATTCCTGTTATCGCAGAATGTGCCGTTAAATTTCGAAGACCATTACCTTTTCACTAGCTCCAGCAATTTTAGCAGCAAATGCAGAATTTGGAATCACAGGAGCTTCCTTGCCGATAGCCTTCTCCAATGAATCTTGTACAGATTCTGAAAAAATAACAATTAAACAAGTAAATGATAATAAGAGCATGAAATAAATAATAAATGATAATTAACAAATTAAGGGACTCTTTCTTCATGAAAGGCAATGTGATATGGAATTCGCTCCTCATACTTCCACTCAAACAGTACACTCTCCTGCGGGACGGTACTTGTCATTCGCGAGGTAAATAGGTTGGTTGCAGCAGTGAGCCAGTTTCTCTGCTTAAAAGTGCATGGATAAAAGGCTAGAGAAGTGGTGATGCCCACGTGCAAACTCCCAACTCAACTTACGCTACCACACGGACGGCCGCACGCCTAATCATAGCCAAGCGCGCTACTAGTCTGTGTCCTCTCACTTTTAGTAGTTGAAGGAGAGTACCAGAAGCAGGCGGCGTGGACGAGTAGCACTTTTGCCTTTGGTTGAGCTATGGCTGGTCGTGAGGCAGCGCGGGCGCAATCGGGAGTCGGCATCCAGATAACACTACACTCCAGCCATGGCTGACATATTTTCCAAACACTAGAAGCCCACGCCTATCGACACTCATCAATGGCTGCGTTCAGCGCAATTGCAGTGGTAGCACGTCGTAGTGCGTCGACGCGCCTCATCGCGAAGTCTGGACGCAGTCCCGGGAGGCGGCGTCGCGAGTGAAGTAGCGCGCAGTATGTTTCACAATGTTGTCCGATATGGTGGAAAGGGACGTCTCTTGCGTCCCTTTCCACCATATCGTACAACAACTCTATTTTTTTGGAAAGTTGATTGCCACTGATATTCCGTGAAGTACAAGAAATTGTGAGTAAAATGGTGGAAGAGTCGTTCTCTACCGAGCTAACACTTTAGGCGACCCCATCACCACGCTGTCGCGCGCCGCATGGCTTGGTAGTTTCTCAAGGTGGACCTCTTGACGTAAACCAATAAAGTCTAGGACAGCCCTTACCAACGTGGTCACTGGCTTCGCACGAGGAGCTTCGAAATATGAAACCGATGACTTACGCAGAAGCATTCGGTTGGAGTCCTCTTCATACTTGAAGCTAAGTCGACCGTAAGAGACGTGGTTAAGATTCTTCAACCATTCGAAGTATGAGACAGTCACACCACCAGAGTTGACGTACCTTAAAATTCATTTTTAGTAATTGAATCTCTAGGAATTGGAAGACAACTTACATGTCAGGGATGATGAGGCAGTTTCCGCGTTCAAGGAGAATCTTATCTGCAGCAGGAGTAGTCGGTCCGTTAGCTGCCTCAGCGATAATCTAAAATCTTCTCTATACATGAAGATCATCGCGGTATACAAATTATGACCGTACCTTTGCTTGGATTCTGTTGGCATTCTCTTTGTGGA